ACCTATTGAGTTGCTGTCATGCAATGCTCTGTCTCCACATTAAAAATTAGAACTGATCCCTTGAAGGGTTTCTAGAGCTTACTGTTTATTACCTCCCTCAGAAAGTTTACCATAAGCTCTTTATACAGAACACGGAATGTTTATAAAGAGATGCCTGCTCAGTCCTCCTCCCTTGGGATCATCCTCACCAGTCAATAATTGCCACTGAGGAATTCCTCAACACTGCTTTTTTTTGGAGCTAAGTGACCCTGCCGTGCAGACTTTGTATTTTCCATCTCCAGACGCCAGTTTGGAAAGGATGGGTCTCACCTGTTCTCCAACTGGGAGACAAAGGTCAGAAGAAGAAATGGAGACCCCTTATGCCTTGTCCCTGATGTGAAAGCTTTTGGACCAGCCACAGAAAAGCAAACAAAACCGACAGTATGATGCAAACTGAATGAAAGAACTCCCACATCTCTGTCTCTGGGCAATCTGTGCAAATCCAGAAAGATGAATGCAACTGTGAGGCCTTTATTGTTTTCCCCCTTTTAAATGCCAGAAATAGAACTTTTTTTTGCCTGCAGGAAGGTTTTGAGCAACTGCAGAGGTCACTGCATCTCAGACAGCCCCCACTGCCACCTTCCAAGAGATGCTGCTGCTACAGGAAGCGGCTCCCATTCCTTCCTTCCAGAGGAAGGAAGCACACATGTGAATCACTGCATTTTGCTGGGCCCATCCATACGCTGTTTATGGGAAGGGCCTCTCCAGGCCCTCTCCAAGATGAGTGGTTTCATCTGAAATGGTCCAAAGAGACACTTGCAGCCTCTCACAAAGACCAGGGAAAGGAGGTTGCCAGGTGACTCAGTGACCAGCTAAGATGACTCCCAAAAGCCTTGCTCTGGAAGCACCATGCCAAGTTGCCCCCTGTGACTATGTGCATGAGCTAATTCAGCTGCAAACTTTCAGACAACTGTGTCAAAATGCCACTTCTCTCCCAGAAGAAGTTCCTCTCGCGCTGGAACCACACGACATCACTCCTCCTCAGCCTGCACCAACTGGTTTTACAGCAGCTCTCAAGGAGGTTGTTTTGTTGAGAAACTGCCATTGTAATAAGGAGTCTGCGAGAGAAAACAAGGTCTTCTCCAAGTATGTTGTAATAAATCTTATTTACCACTGAGGGGAAGATGTTGAGGCTATACAGAGGTGAAGATCTTGGCCATCATCTCTCAGGAATCAACAGCTCATGGATCCCCACGGCTCCCACCCTGCTCAGTGAAATGGTGCCAGCGGCCCATCAGGCCCTGACCCCTCTGTTTATATTTAAATATATACATTTATGTTTAAATTTAGCATATTTACATCTGAGATTGCAGGTCCTTCTTAAAGTCTCAGCATCAAAAATATACCACCAATTAGAAAATAATAATTTTTAAAAAAGAGCATCTCTGCCTGCTGACTCTGGCTGCATTCACCACTGTTTCCAGAGGCAGGCAGATTCATTAATTCATTCATTCCCCACTTCGTTATGGAATGACTCCAACAAAGCTGCTGATACAACTGGGAAATCAAAAGATGAGCCAGGAAAGCGACTGCAAAAAAATGCATTAAGGAAACATGTGTGGTTACGTCGAGTGGCAGGGCCAGAGTCAGCAATTCATGAAAAAAGGGACTGCAGAGTCACTGGCTGAGAGGAGAATTAAATGTGCAGAAGGAGCTCAGATCCTAAGGGAAGTATTTCTTTACAAAAAAAATTAATAAAAATTATAGTTTCTGTTCAAATGAAATATGTTGTCCTACAAAATCTTTCATTTAATTGTCATCTTTTTCCTTTTGTACTTAAACACAGAATCATATATAAATTGTAAGATATTTAAGATATAGTTCACTCCTTAGGCTTCCTCTCAAATGTTGGACATATGATTCAATAAATACCCTGATGCTTTTTGTTTCAGCCACTCTGAAAATCATCTGTGCTCTAGGTGGGCATCAGAGATGACTTACTGATTGCTTCATGGGCCAGTAGAAAGGTTTTACAAAGATGATTTTAGGACAGCCACGATACTCAAACTATTTGATATGTCACAAATGAATGACTAGACCACGTTTTTACACTTTACCCCTGTAAGTCTCTGCACTCCAAGCATCAGGCTTTGGTTATACCCTGTGCACCCACCCCAGTGTGTGTAACTGTGCCCAGCCTTGAGCTCAGCCACACTGACAACCATGGCTTCCTAAATTATTCCCAGCTTCTTCAGGATCAAGGCAGGAAGATGTCCTGAACGGCTTTTAAAATGATTATGCAAGTCACAGTCGGCTGTATAATACCTTTTCCAAAAAGACCTCCCTCTTAGCACTCTGACAGCAATCAGCCATGTCATTATGACTCTTCTTTCTCCTTATAACATATATTCTGAATGTTTTAAATGGAAATAACATCATCTTGTCCCCCCCGTGTTTCGTACTCGTGGCGTGTCCTTGCAAGCAACCAAAGCTCAGGATGCCAAAAGCTGAAGGCTCAGCTCGCCCACGTAAGAGATGGGATATGAATAAATCAGTGCAAAGTCCATGTGAGCTCCTTCTCTCTCGCTAGCAGGGGCTCAGGCTGGAAAAGCTGGATCTGCAGTGGAGCTGCCATGCAGCCTTTAACTACCCGTGGTGCCATTTGAAATCCTCAGTTCATTCAGTATATGGATTCGTTTTTTGAAATACCAAATCTGCAGCTGGGTATTTACAGAGAAATGGGGGGGGAAAAGTGTATTTACTAGGGTGGTGTGACCATTTCTTTTACAGAGTTTGACTTACTGGGAGGGAGTTTAGAAACCCAAAGGAAACCCCAAAATTCAGAGAGCTCCAGACTCCATCCTCAGTGTCACCACCAGACTGGTCAGGGCACATGTCACTCCTGCATACCTGATGAGAGCAGAGCTGGGTACCCGCTGCTGTGTGTTTTGTACCTCCCCGAAAGTCATCTTCAAAGGCCACTTATCTTTTCCCCAATGTAGAGCTGTTCATCTCAGGCTTTCTGGAGCAGCATTTGGATCCTAATTCAACTGTTGCTGGCTTCAGGGGGAGGACTGACCCTAGAAATTGCCACTTTCTCCTCTATTTCCCTCTACTGAGAATAGGACGGGGAAAAATAACCCTCCGTGGTGACAACACATCCAAAACAAGGGGAGGGGGGACATGGCTGACTTTACTGGAGAAAGCTGATTTCCTGTTCCCTTTCTTTTTAACGGGCTAAAGGAGATGTTGTTTCCCTTCCTCCCTTTTGCTGCCACCACCTCCCACATCTCAGTGGAAACCAAAGTCTCAGACACTTCAGTTATAGCCCTCCATCAATGTTTTCTAAACCAGGATTTTGCAGAGCTGGAAGAAGGCTGAGTTTCACGTTATCCGCTCTGAATTCAGCAAAGCTTATGTTCATCAGAAAAGGAAAGATAGAAGTTTATGACTTGGAAAATCTCTGAGCCAATATTTGTAAATACAGTCTAATTTAATTACCAATATATGTATTTTTTCAGCTGCCCAACTCTGAGAGAGCACAATCCCACTGGGATGAAGCAATCACACTATTTAGCATGCAAAATCACTACTTGCCTACCAGTTTATTAAAAGGTGGTTTTCTAATTCAGAGGAAAAGGCGAATTACAGGCAAAGTAGAAGAGCAATAATCTGAACGCATCTGAAATGCTCCACTGAACTCTGCTCCAGCAAACATAAGAAAAGACTTTTTTCTCTTTTTCCCCTCTCCAGTGACAGCTTTCCAGTGCCGCTGGCATCCATCACATGAGCAGAGGCAAATGCTTCCACACTTGGTAATAATCAGAGCAAAGAAATTAGGGATTGGGAGGAGGAAACACAGGGGTTTTTTCTCTTGGCTAAAGGCATACTTCAACCTGAAAAGCTCAAAGGGAACTCAGTAGTAGCTTCCTCCTCCATTTCCACTTCTCAAGCAGAGCCAGGACTCCCCACAGATCTTCCAGGTCACCCATTTTTCCTGGGCTCTCAGTTTTGCTGTGCTTCTGCTGAGTCCTGAAGGACTAACTCCCTCAGCTCCCACCTATCCTTCCCCACACCACCACTCCACCACCTATTTATGCAAAATAATCTTCCAAACTCTCCCAACTTCATTTCAAGCCCACCTTCACTGTCAGCTATTGCTCTACCCCTACCTTCACTGTAACTCCAGGTTATGAAGAACAAATTCACCCCCCCTCTCACTTTTTGACCTGCACTGTTTGCTGCAAAACAACACAAGACCAAAGAACTGCCCTCGGCAGAACAGCTCCTCATGGGAGCAGATAAAAAAGGATTTTCCTTAATGTAATGGTGAACTGAAATCAATAAATACACGACAAGGCAATACAGAGGCAAACTTGGGCACTGCAGGGACTAGGGAGGAAATGTATATAAACTACAGTTACCAGGGCAGAGTAAAGAGCAAATACAAATGTAAAAGACACTACGAGATGCCTAAAGTCAAAGTAGAATATTAATAAATGATTAACATGGCAGGTTTTAGGACAAGCGTTACAGATTCTGTATCTCTACGAAATCAGCTTTCCATAGCCTAAGACGTTAAGGCTTAATCAGAGTGCATTGTTTTGGAGACGAGCTATCAGAGCTATCACTGGTCAGTTAAATTGCAGGAATGGAAGTGGGGGTTTAATTCAAGATCCTCTAGGGAGGAGATTTGTTTGAAAGAGGTCAATTAAGCCTTCCACTCCAGTTAATCCCTTCTGTTTATTTTAAAATATCTGGAATAAGGAAAAACATTACAACAGGCCAGCAAAGCGAAATTTTTCCTATGGATGCACCAGAGCAAAAACCTGCAGGTCAGCTTGCTTTCAGCTGGGTAAAACACAGGCAGAAATTGCAATCAGCCTGCATTTCATATGGATGCATCACGTGGAGATGATTCAGGCTGAATTATTCTCCGAATCAGCCTTATGAAACACTCTCCTCCGATGAAGGCAGCAGTACTCGATCTGGTTTTGGTAGAAGTTAATATTTTAACTTACTTTAACTTGGTTGGGAAGGAGTCTCTGTGGTCAGGCAGAAGAGAGTGGATCCCCAAAGAAAGTATTTCTGTCAGTTTGCATTTTACTTCAGAAGTCAGGAGCTGCCCATCTCTGCCTTCAGAGCCCCTCTTCCCCACAGCCTCCTAGCTGTTAATGGCACTATTTACATATATTTCCCTTAAGCTTTTGAGTCACCAATGGTTATTTAGGTCAATGTATTTGTTTCTTCTGCTCTTCTGAATATTGATGGGTTTCAATCTTTTTTTTTTTTTTCCAATCTCTTTCTTTGGTCCTACTGTAACTCCTTTCTGAGCTTCCCTAAGCAAAGCAGCAAATGCCAGGCACACCACACACTGTGCTGCCCATCTGCTTCCCGCTGCCACCTCCCTCCTCACCCCATGGCACATCCGTGTGCGTGATCTTTGTGGAAAGGCTTTCTGTGTGCCACAGACCACCTATCCTGCCGAATCAGAAAACAGGAAAAGCAGCATTATCCCTTCCCAGAGCCAGCCCTGTACAGTTCTTTTCAGTGCTCACCAGCACTGAGCTCTTTTCTGTTCACGGGGCAGGTGAGGAGCCACCACCATGCTGTGACCCCACAACCAGCAAAAGCCTCAGTTTCCATTTCCTTGCCGTGTCATTAACTGCATGGAACGACGCTCCCAGCATTTAAGAAAAAGCCCCAGTGCATGTGCCTGCAGCAAGGAAGCAAGGGACAGACAATCCCTACTGGGAAACCAGCACAGGTCAACAGGGTGGCAGGGAGGAGAGGGGTCTGCAATGTGAAATGCAGGAGTGGTGAGGGCAGGGTGGGAGTTGTGAATACAGAAATCATGGTAGTTTTCTCTGGGAGGACAGGAGCAGCCCAGAGATATCAATGGGAGTGGCTCCTAGCAGAGGGGGAGGCTGAGCCAGAGGGGACAGATGCAATAGAAAACTGAGTAAGGGAGGAGAAACCAGGTGAGATGGAGCTGAAGCAGTTGAGCAGCTTTGACCTGATCCATTGTCAAAGTGGAAATCCAGCTGAGCAGCAATTAAGGGGCTGGGAGGAGAATTCGATCAGCCATACTATACTCAGGGCAAAGTGATGGTGGCACAATCAGCTTGGTGCCACATGGCAGCTGCTGCAGGTCCTCTCTGCCGGGTCTGCCCTGTGTATTCCTCCCAGCACCCTCATCACTCAGAATTGAGTTAATTAGACACAGATTCACTGGCTCCCTTCACAAATCCATAAAACTCCTTTGGGCTCAGCGCTGTAGTCCTCTCTCACTTCCCATGGAAGCAGGTGACCTTCTGAGATCAGTAACACCCCATTCTCCATCCATGGCCTCAGGAACGTTTCATTTATGCAGAAGCAATTAAGGGGGTTCATTTTCTGGTAATGAACTTCCACCCCATTAGAGTGTATGTGCTTTGTCCCATGCTCTGCCTTTCTTTAAAGGGAAAAATCTGCTTTCATAGCTGCCTCCATGGAAACAGCAACTCTGTGGTGTTGGCGATGCTCCAGGCTCGATGGGCTCGGTTCAAACATGGAAATCTGCCTTTCTTGATCACAGAGTGCTGAAACTTCAAGCCAGGATCCCAGAGCCCAGCCAGGTCTCCTCTGGCTTGTTCAACAGCACCAGTGGAGTTCTTGTGGGTCAGATCTCACACCTGGCAACATCTGTGCAAACCTACTGCTGAGGAACGCTTGGGAAAGTGGAGGGACTAGACAAAGCTTTTACCTCACACACTTCGTTAACTCCAGCACTAATGCAGATGCTGGACTATCAAAGTAGCTAATGGAGTGAAGGTAAGCACTCAGTTTCCCTCCTATAATGAGCTTTGAGACCAAACCTCCAGTAAATGTAAATAAAATTAAAAAAAAAATAAAATTCCTCCAATTCCCACTTTGAAAAACTTGCACAAAAAACACAGCACAAGAGATCTGCTGGATTTGGCCCCCCCATAGGCTGCTGCATCCTCCAGCAAGGTCACAGCTGGTGGCAGACCACAGCAATACCTACAGGGCTCCTGAGCTAAACTTCCAAAGGAGGATGAATGACTCCTTTGGCCCCTTGAATCCCCTAATCTGCAGCTTTCAGACTATCAAAGAGGATGCGTGGCAGCTGCACAAGCAGAGCGCAGGTAGAGAAGAGGGGATTTGCCCTCTGGCTTGGGAAAATTGGTCCCTGTGTAATAAAACACATAGCTCTTCTATAATCATTTGTTCAGCTCCATAAATCCCAGGGCATAAATCAGGCTGTCGGGAAGAGCAGCTGTGAAGGAATCTCTGCAGGAGGAATGAAAAAGCTGACGGGTGCCAGTCCCAGTGCTCCGCTGGCTCCACGGCGCTTTACTGCCACTGACTTCAAAGGAGCTGCTCAGTCGTGGTGCTATAAATACCAGCAGAACGGGGCTCAGTGGCAGCTTCTGGTGAGTATTAGGGAAATGTAAAATTCAACAACCCCTAATTGCCCTTCAGTCAACAGCACCTGTTTAAATTACTGTTATTATGTCAAAGATATTGGAATTGTTAACACAAACACAACCGAGGATTGCAGATGCTGTAGCTTTCTACCAGCAAACCTTTTACTTGCTGCTAAATATTTTCCCTTTCAATACAGGAACAACACCCACGGTGGCCAATACCCAGTGATCAGGGGCTGCTCCAGGATTTGCAGGAGGGTGTCCTGCAAGAAAGGACGGAGCTTGTGAGGGAGGAGAAACTCTTGACAAAGGCCCCAGGGAGCTCATGAAGGAAAGGCTGAGAAGGGAAAGTACTCATCCTGCAAGTAATGATTAAAAACAGTTATGGAAAAGATGTGAGGAGAGTTCCAAAAGAAACATCGTCCATGTGTCAGACGAAAACCAAAATAGGTCTTTTTTAGCAAAAGGACATGGTGTATTCATCAAAAATACTGTTTTGGAGGACCTGAAGCTCAGCTGCATTGGGACAAGCACATCCAGATCTCTGCAAGGTCTTTTTCAAAGCAGGGATTTAACAGAGGATCTTCAGGAGTCTCCTCACCACCATCTCTAAACACTCTGGTATGGGTGTCTCTCAGTGTCTCCTCAAAACACTGAGATGTGCACAAAGACCTGGGCCAGCAGCGCAATTCGCGTTTTTCTTTCCCTCTCTGCCAAGAAAGCTGTCCCTCCCTCCCAGACGTGCTGCTCAGAATCCCAGACCCAGGATTGGTGCTCCATGCTTCACAGCTGCCAAAGCCAATGGAAAGGAGCGGTACCTCCAGCAGGACCAAACCCAACGGACCCCCCTCCGCTGGCCAACAGGAGGTTCGAGACCCATTCCCAGCACCAGCTGGAATACCTGTGCTGGGTACCAGGAGTGCTGTGCACCCTGCAGGATGAGGCCCCATGGATTACACCTTGGCATCCCGCCCCGGGGAGTTATGCAGATGACTCAGTCCCATCAGCAACAATAAATTCAATGGGCAATGGTATTTCCACACAGAGGGAAAAGCTCTGGACGCTCGGTGCAAACACCGCTTTGTGCAGACAGGGAAAAGATCTCGAGCCGACACAATGCTTTACACATCACTGAAGCTCAAGTAACTGCAAAATCTGGCCCAGAATACCTTTTCCTTGGTTATGTGTTTGCATTGCAGAGGGTTTTTTCAAATACATTTCTAAACCAGATGTCTTAGCACGGACGACCCCAGCTCTGCTGAGGAATTATGCTGATTTAACTCTTCTGAGGGGCTTTGCCTGAATTTAGCTTAATTGATGCCAAAGAGCCAAACTTACTCCAGTTATTATAAAGACAGTAGGTACTGCTGCTGGGTGAGAGCTGCATCTGCTGCACATATGATGCAGTCCCTACCCCAGAGGGCTCCCTGCCTGCATGGAAAAGGCACAGCAGGGAAAAACCAAGTGGGACAAGCCCCGTTCAACCACATGGTGAAGTGATCACATCACCCCAGGAGCCCGGGTTTGATTTCAGACCTTTGATACCACCATTTCTCATGTGAGTGTTTCCATGGGAAATCCCAAGCTCAGAGGCATAGATCAGGTCTAATGCTGAGGGGGCTTTAATCCCTAATCCTACCCACACACTAGGCACAACTTTATTCTGGCTGCTTGGTCTTACAAGGGTTAATGAGACTATTCCTGTGCTCAAAGCAAAGCAAGCACCAAAGCTTACAGGACCAAGGTCTGATTTTGTTCTCTGAGGCAAGAAGTCTCTTAATTTGCCATTGGTTTTCTTGGAAAGGTAATTGTCTTTTTGGAGCTGCTCTTTGCCTTAGGTTCTAACTATTTTGAGCCTTTTCAAAATGCCACTGCTCGAGCCACTTTAAAAGGCACCAATAAAATTCATATTAAAAACGACTTAGTGCATAATTCATGGCCTCTAGAAAACCATTTCTTATTCGGCTGGCAAACCAACCCGTCATGCATTTTACATTGCTTGCTCATTTTCTCAGCTGTGCTGCACTGCTTCAGGAACAACCTATCCGTGCTGCACATGTCAGTCAGACAACACACCTTGATGCCAACATAAATCCAGCGTGGTCACCTGGGACGGGACGCGGCCGTTTGCTCTCTCACACAGGAGGGAAATCAGAGTTACAACAGATTTACAACCGGGCTCGATCAGATCAGGGGACGACCTCTGTAATATCTGTCCAGGTACAAAATGTTCTACTTAATCTTCCTATTTGTTTCCTTTGGACACATCAGCCTGAGAATTTATGGCAGCAGCGATGGAGAAGCAGTGAATTTTATGCAAGTATTAGAGAAAGCCCCTGGGAAACATTTAACAGAATAAACTTGAGAGCTGGTACCAGAAACATAACTGAGAAAGCTTGTTCTATACACAGCTATGGGTATAAGCATTCACTTAAAGTAATTAAATTATAGTACTAAAGAGTTGAAGTATCTCATAAAAACTGTCTACAATATGCCACAGAGGAAGGTACATAAATCAAATAAAAAAAGCCAGATGAAAATCTAAGTATCATAACTGTTCCATCCTTTCAAAATAAATCTAGGACAACATTATACTGTATCCTTAATTCAGTATGTCCAAGTTGATATTTATTAACAGTCAGCTCTGAAGCCCCTGGTTAAAATAAAATGGACTGTGATTTTAAAATATTGGTTTAGATAGCCCATACTACCTAATTTGTGATTTATACCATACTTGTGGAAAAGGTCTCACAAAGAGAGGAACGAACTAGGTATAAGGGGACTGCTGAAATCATAAACTTGAAAGCTATTCTTAATAAATAAGTAAACAAATAAATAAATCCTATTTA